TTTGGAGCTAGTTTCTAGTCGGTTCAGAAAGTGACGTTTGGCAGTCTGGGATACGGGCCGCGGGCCTAATCCGTCCTTCACTGCCATGGTGTTTTAGCCCTGCAACACGGTCCTTGGACTCCAGCTTAGACCGAAGCAATGCAGAACGAAAGCCGGCTCCAGGAGGACACGAGCAGGGTGGCAGTTGGCAGTGCAGAAACGCAGGTAAAGTCAAGGTTTGGAGTCGCAGAACGAAAGCCGGCTCCAGGAGGACACGAGCAGGGTGGCAGTTGGCAGTGCAGAAACGCAGGAAAAGTCAAGGTTTGGAGCTAGTTTCTAGTCGGTTCAGAAAGTGACGTTTGGCATTCTGGGATACGGGCCGCGGGCCCAATCCGTCCTTCACTGCCATGGTGTTTTAGCCCTGCGACACGGTCCTTGGACTCCAGCTTGGACCGAAGCGGGGCAGAACGAAGGCCGGCTCCAGGAGGACACGAGCAGGGTGGCAGTTGGCAGTGCAGAAACGCAGGAAAAGTCAAGGTTTGGAGCTAGTTTCTAGTCGGTTTAGAAAGTGACGTTTGGCAGTCTGGGATACGGGCCGCGGGCCCAATCCGTCCTTCACTGCCATGGTGTTTTAGCCCTGCGACACGGTCCTTGGACTCCAGCTTGGACCGAAGCGTTGCAGAACGAAAGCCGGCTCCAGGAGGACACGAGCAGGGTGGCAGTTGGCAGTGCAGAAACGCAGGAAAAGTCAAGGTTTGGAGCTAGTTTCTAGTCGGTTCAGAAAGTGACGTTTGGCCGTCTGGGATACGGGCCGCGGGCCCAATCCGTCCTTCACTGCCATGGTGTTTTAGCCCTGCGACACGTCCTTGGACTCCAGCTTGGACCGAAGCGGTGTAGAACGAAAGCCGGCTCCAGGAGGACACGAGCAGGGTGGCAGTTGGCAGTGCAGAAACGCAGGAAAAGTCAAGGTTTGGAGCTAGTTTCTAGTCGGTTCAGAAAGTGACGTTTGGCAGTCTGGGATACGGGCCGCGGGCCCAATCCGTCCTTCACTGCCATGGTGTTTTAGCCCTGCGACACGGTCCTTGGACTCCAGCTTGGACCGAAGCGGTGCAGAACGAAAGCCGGCGCCAAGAGGACACGAGCAGGGTGGCAGTTGGCAGTGCAGAAACGCAGGTAAAGTCAAGGTTTGGAGATAGTTTCTAGTCGGTTCAGAAAGTAACGTTTGGCACTCTGGGCTACGGGCCGCAGAACGAAAGCCGGCTCCAGGAGGACACGAGCAGGGTGGCAGTTGGCAATGCAGAAACGCAGGAAAAGTCAAGGTTTGGAGCTAGTTTCTAGTCGGTTCAGAAAGTGACGTTTGGCAGTCTGGGATACGGGCCGCGGGCCCAATCCGCCCTTCACTGCCATGGTGTTTTAAAGCCCTGCGACACGGTCCTTGGACTCCAGCTTGGACCGAGCGGTGCAGAACGAAAGCCGGCTCCAGAGGACACGAGCAGGGGTGGCAGTTGGCAGTGCAGAAACTCAGGAAAAGTCAAAGGTTTGGAGCAGTTTCTATCGGTTTTCAGAAAGTGGACGTTTGGGCAGTCTGGGGTCTTCATGGCCATTTGTTTAGCCTGCGACACACGGTCCTTTGACTCCATCCGCTTGGACCGAATCAGTGCAGACGAAAGCCGCCAGGAGACACCGAGGCCGGGTTGCAGTTGGCATGCAGAAAAAAACCAGGAAAAGTCAGGTTGAGCTAGTTTTGTCTATCGGTTGTTCCAGAAAGTGACGTTTGGCAGTCTGGGATACGGGCCGCGTGCCTACTCCGGCCTTCATGCATGGTGTTTTAAGTGCCCTGGACACGGTCCTTGGCCTCCAGCTTTGGACCGAAAGCGGTTGCAGAAACGAAAGCCGGCTCCAGGGACACGATCGAGGGTGGCAGTTGGCAGTGCAGAAACGCAGGAAAAGTCAAGGTTTGGAGCTAGTTTCTAGTCGGTTCAGAAAGTGACGTTTGCTCGAGGATGACCCTAGCAGGTGGCAGTTGGCTGGTGCCAGAAACACGGAAAAGTCAGGTTTGGAGGCTATTTTTTCTAGTCGTTCATGAAAAGTGGACGTTTGGCCGTCTGGGATCCACAGGCCACGGGCCCAATCCGTCCTTCACTGCCATGGTGTTTTAAGGCCCTGCTACACGGTCCTTGGACCCAGCTTGGACCGAATCTATGCAGAACGAAAGCCGGCTCCAGGAGGACACGAGCAGGGTGGCAGTTGGGAATGCAGAAACGCAGGAAAAGTCAAGGTTTGGAGCTAGTTTCTAGTCGGTTCAGAAAGTGACGTTTGGCAGTCTGGGATACGGGCCACGGGCCCAATCCGTCCTTCTCTGCCATGGTGTTTTAGCCCTGCGACACCGTCCTTGGACTCCAGCTTGGACCGAAGCGGTGCAGAACGAAGGCCGGCTCCAGGAGGACACGAGCAGGGTGGCAGTTGGCAGTGCAGAAACGCAGGAAAAGTCAAGGTTTGGAGCTAGTTTCTAGTCGGTTCAGAAAGGGACGGTTGGCAGTCTGGGATACGGGCCGCGGGCCCAATCCGTCCTTCACTGCCATGGTGTTTTAGCCCTGCGACACGGTCCTTGGACTCCAGCTTGGGCCGAAGCGGTGCAGAACGAAGGCCGGCTCCAGGAGGACACGAGCAGGGTGGCAGTTGGCAGTGCAGAAACGCAGGAAAAGTCAAGGTTTGGAGCTAGTTTCTAGTCGGTTCAGAAAGTGACGTTTGGCAGTCTGGGATACGGGCCGCGGGCCCAATCCGTCCTTCACTGCCATGGTGTTTTAGCCCTGCGACACGGTCCTTGGACTCCAGCTTGGACCGAAGCGGTGCAGAACGAAAGCCGGCTCCAGGAGGACACGAGCAGGGTGGCAGTTGGCAGTGCAGAAACGCAGGAAAAGTCAAGGTTTGGAGCTAGTTTCTAGTCGGTTCAGAAAGTGACGTTTGGCAGTCTGGGATACGGGCCGCGGGCCCAATCCGTCCTTCACTGCCATGGTGTTTTAGCCCTGCGACACGGTCCTTGGACTCCAGCTTGGACCGAAGCGGTGCAGAACGAAAGCCGGCTCCAGGAGGACACGAGCAGGGTGGCAGTTGGCAGTGCAGTGTCGTCTCGGGTCTCTTTAGGATGCCATTTAAAGTTTCATACTGCGGTTACGAACGGGGGCTTCGGGTATGGGTCTTAAGTGCTAGAGCAACCCTTTAGGTCCCCAAGACACCTGGCCAATGACGAAAGCTCCTATTTCTTGAGCCATGAAAAAGTGTCAGAGCACATAGTTGTGCGTGTCATCCTGCAGGGGTCCATGCTGCTTGCATGTGCACAGTGCCAAACGCACATACAAATGGTTTGTTTAGGTCAGTTTCTGGTTTCTTTAGGGTTCATTTCATGCTTACGACACAGAGGCAGGCATGACCCTCCAGTGTCCAGGGGTCGGCGGCAGAGGGCGTAGCCCTTTAATATATGGAAAAATAAAAAATGTTCCAAACCACCAACCAGTTATGGCTTTACAGTTGCAATACCAAGAAAAAAAACAGTTTGGGTTAATAACACCCTGTGTCAATCAAGCGACAGGAGTGTTTCGAACGGCTCAGCTGTGGTAAATTGGATGGCGCTTTCAGGGTGAACAGAACTGCAAAGAAACAGATCACAACAAACAGGCAGGCGTTACACAAAGGATGTCGGACACACCGTCATTGATCGGACAGTGTGTGTGATTCCTGAGGGGCTCGGACCGGAAGACTCAGCAAAGGATGCCACTAACCCAAACAGCTCCAGTTTCGGAATCAAGGCACATCCAATGCACTGCAAGAAGGACGGGTTTCCTCGGCGCCAGTGAAGCTCAAAGTGTCCTATGCACTCCATTGACCCAACATAGCAACCATGGATTCCTTAGAGCCCAGTATTGAGGGGATTTTACAGAAGACAGGCGTTGCTGCCATGATGCAGCATGGATTTAATGCTGCAGGAATTTTATGGTGACTTTTGACTCTGATTCTAACAAGAGCCAATAGAAAGACAGATTTAACTATAATAATTAATCAACAACAATAAAAGGAATCTAAACACAACAAAATAAGATAAAATAAACCAACATGAGTACAAAGTCACACCTTCAAGATCAAGATCTCAGGAAAACAAGGCTTCCCCATCTCTATGATCTCTATGCCCTCTATAAAATCCTGATCTCATTCATGAATGTCACCAAACAAGAAACTTTTCCACAAAATCAGGAGCTATCGACAAACCGTGCATCAAATGTGCTTCAAAGAAGGAGATGGCAGATAAAATGTGGATGAATAGAATAGAACTCATTTAAAAAAATCGGAATAATTCGGATGTTCAATTCTGATGCATCTGATATCAACTCATCCCCAACTCATCCCCACTGCACTGAGTCCCCTGCCGGAAGCTACTGGAACATCTCAGGTGATCCCAGTTGGGGGCGACGGCTGAGCCCACACGCAGTGAAAAAACGTTGCTTTCCCATGGTTTCCCCACATATTTTGGATCTTTTAGTGTTGGATGTTAGGTTGGAATCGTGCACTTTGATGCATTTTGAAACATTTTTGTCACATGGTACTTGGTTTCTTTCAAAAATATCTTAGCTTGAAGCGTTCGACTTTTTTTTACAGGTGCGGTATTGGCGTTCAACCATGCAAATTGAAACAGATGTTTCCTTGTTTGGTACACATCGCCCAAAACACTGGGAGATTACTCAGTTACTCATGACCCACAGAAAGAAAAAAACAACTCACCTTGTGATGTCCTCCTATGATACTTTTTACCCATAGCGTCAAGGACTTCGCTAAGCCAAGTCAGGACGGGGTGAGTTAAAGCTCCCCAGGGTCCGCGCAATTTACAGATGGTTTCTCAAAGTGACGAAAATTTGGTCCTTTGGATCTTTTTGGCGCCAATGAGCTTGTGATTTTGATCCATACACCAAGTTACCAAGTCATTCTTTGCAAGGCCTCCAGATTTATCTGTGACAAGGAAGTGGCTCAAAGAAAAAGACAGCTGCGTAGCTGGTGTGTTTTGCACTTTGAGAAACCAACGGATTCCCCCAGGAAGAATTTCCTGCCAACGCAGTCGTCTGAGCTTTGGCCCTAAAGAGGGACCTTTCCAACTGAAGGACCATAGCTCAGGTCTTCTTCGGCCGCAGCATGCGGCTTTTCCTCGCCTCATCTCAGGGTGAAATCTTGGTCAACTCAAGTGGTAAACCCAATAAAAACGAGCCCGATTAACAATTTTACCGTCAAGGGGAATATAAACCATCTCCAAATCGGAAATTTCTGATTGGGTCTACCACATGATATTGCTTGAGGATCTGTTTTGATTGTTTATGATTGGCCAGTGGCATCAGTTTCAAACCCGGAGAATTGGTCAGATTTTGCTTCATTGCTGACACAGATGCCTTTTTTGAGTTCAGCCGCACCCCAAACATCCCATCCCCGAAGTCCAGTGCCTTTGAAGGACTTTCGTCCAAATCCGCAACCGTCTCGGCCACAATTTCCGCCTCCTTTACCTCAGATGTGGAAAAGTTTGAAAGTGAAACCAACAAACCACTTCCATCCACTTCCCATAGCAATCCCATAGCAATCCTTGTCCCCAACGGAGCAACACCGCAAGTTCTCGGTGGTCACCCCAGCTGATCCAAGTGATCCAAGCGTCCTCAGTGGGTTCAGGTGACCGTGAAGGCAGTGAAGGCATCGTATTCAGCGAGTCTCTTCCGGGTGTTGCGGTAGAAGCACCCGAAGAACGAGGCCTGCCAGCGGTGTCGTGAGCTGGAACTAAGAAAAAAAGTGCCTTAGAGATGATACGAAATTTAACTATATTTAACTCAAAAAAAAACACGGATTCGGGATCTTGGACACAAAATGGGTCCAAGATTTTCCATATCCTCGCCCAGATCTTGATGGGGCCGATTTTGAAGTGCCAAATTGGTGCTAAATGATCCCCCCACTGGGTGATGTTTTTTCAACGGCAGGAGTCACCCAGTACCCCTGTAGTTCCCATCAAAAAATAGCTGGTAGTAAAAAAAACATCTTCATCCTTTCTATAGGTATTTCAAGATATTTCTTAGGTGATCCATAGCCACAAAAAAGCCACAAAAAAGCCACAAAAAAGCCACTATCAGCTTATCCTTGGCTATCTCCATCTATAGTTTAATAGAGAAAACTATAACCTTAAACTATCACAAATATATACCATTCTCCCCATGAAAATCACCATCTTTGATCCATCCTGAGATCCCCAACTCGCCGAACTGCGGTGGTGGTGGGAGACGACCTTTCTCCATCGCCTTCGTGGACGCCGTTTCGGCCGTTTCGGCCTCGACCTGTCCGACCTGGTGAGGACTTGGAATCCGCAACGGAATCCCTCCGCAACGGAATCCGCAATTCAATTCCACCACATATAGAATATTTGGAAAGACCCAAGAATCCATTTCCAGAGACCCCAGATCAATGACAAAACCTTATGTATGTATATATATATATACTATCTGGTTATGTTAACTAACATAGCCATGGAAAGATCCACCCATTTTTAATAGGTAAACCATCTATTTCTATGGGCCATCTATACCATGGCTATGTTAAATAACCAGAGGGTAACTGAAATAACCAACAAGAAGCAGCATCTGCATGATTTCATTTCGGAGCCACATTGAGATATATGGGCGCCGCTTGGAATCCAAAAACCATTGCAGCAACGTGCAGCAACAACAACAACAACAACAACAACACATTGGGTGGGCTTCAACCTCAACACTACAAAAAATGCAATCAGTTGGCTATGTTTTTTTCGCATCAAACCAGATATTTCTCTGAAATCAGAGGCCATAGCTTCGACCCGTACCCAATTCAGGAATGGCTGATTGAATATCTGTTCAAATCGCTAGGGGTCAAAGTGAGGCATCCAAAAGTCAGATACTTAGTATATAGTCAGACGATATTAGATGGTTACTTAATAATCCAAGCATTCTGTGGTTTCCCAAACAAAATGTTGACCCAGCTTCGGAATGGACCTTGGTTGGCCGTGCTCGAACAGGGCTTGCGTTCCTGTCCGCGGCATTTACCGGAGATGGTGAAGCTACCAACTTGGATGGTTGTTTGGAGGAATCATCCCACAAGTATCAACAACATCCATAGCTCCCAAAAATATCTGGTTGGTGGTAGACCTATCCCTCTGAAAAATGATGGAGTTCGTCAATTGGGATCATTGTTCCCAACTGAATGGAAAAATTAAAAATGTTTCCAAACCACCAATCAGAATATTGTCAAAAACCATCTCAAACAATGCGTCCTTGGTGTGGCACAGCTGCTGGAGTCAGGTTCGAAGACCTTCATCAAACTCTCAACATCGATATCACCGCCTGCCGAAAAGCTGAGTTGCCCTGAACATTGGGTACCCGGTCTGGTGAACAGCCACATTAAACGAACTGGAAAGATCCACCATGCTTTTTTGATGGGTAAATCAACTATTTCCACTGGGCCATGTTCAAGTTCGCAAACTGTTGGCAAACTGTAAACTTTTACCAGCGGCTAGCCCCGAAACTCCAATGGCTCAACTGAGCATTCTACTTGATGATCATCTTGCCGAAAAAAAAACTTTCGGAGGCCAAGTCCCCATGGAAAAACCAGGGAAAAACCGTAGGAAGTCCCTAGGTCCCATGAGGTGCCTGTCTGGTAGATGAGATTTTCCCAAGGTCGACAGGAAGGCAGTTCCTGTAGGAATTTCCGCTTGATGTGGAGATCTGAGAAAACTCCAAATCACCTGTTTCGGATGTTATCAATGCTATTCATCTCTTCAAATCAAAAATTCCTTGGAAAAAAAACTATGCATCCAGCTGATTTGATCTTTGAAGGTCCCATGTATCAAGTAGTTAATATGTCCTATATCATTACTTGGGAAAAGATTACTTGGAAAAAAACCTATGAATCCAGCTGATATATGTATATATATATCAACACTTTGTCCCATGAATTTCCGGTCGGAGCCAAAGGGTCGTTCACCAGCTCCGGGTCAAAGATCTCACGTTTTTTCGCCTCTGCGAAGATTTCCTGAGAGGATGTCATGATGGGATCTTGGAAATCCAAAAATCTTCCTATAGCAACCCAGCAACCCCCTAAAAAGATTGAAAAATGACACGAAAAAACTAAGATTACTAGAGGTTTAGTGAATTTTCCGGATTTCTGATGAAGTACTGTTCTATCTTTGGGAGATTTCACATGATTTCACTGTAAGCACCAAGGTTTGTTTGCCATTGTTTTACAGAGATTTTGCAACTTAACCGACTTAACCATTGAACTCCAAGGAACTCTCAGCAAGAGCATGAACTCCTGTCCTGATGCGGATGGTCAACATGATCCAACACTCCAACTGCAGTTTCCAAAAATTGCTGGAAAAAAATTACATACACTGTAAATGAAGATATTTACATCCATATACCGTGGAAGGGTTAGCAAAATCACTGAACATGTGAGTTTTTTTGGGGGGAGTACCATATATATATGAGCCCGGTCCCCGGACCCCCACACCCCCCCCCCTCCTCCCCCCAATGGTATCCCCCCCCACTCCTAACCCCCCCCACCCCCCCAAAACCTAGTATTTGCATGTTATTTGCACATATACATACACATATACACATATATACTCCCCTTTCCACCCCTCCAACCTCGCATCTCTACGTTATTTGCAGCACTTGAGAGCCACGACCTCGTCAACGGACCTTGTCTACCTGTATATTTCTATCATAACCTTTTTTTCGAACCGCCTATAGCGTGCCTCGCACATGGTTTACAACATATTTGCTACCTATGGATTACGCAAAGCTTACCTATGCAAACCTAGACATATGTACAGTAGAAAAACAATAAATACATATATATATATATGCACATTCTAGATACTACAGATTGATATCTTGATCTTGTATCTATCACATATTTCGTTTACATTGTACATACTGTACACGTATATATATATATATATGTATATATATATGCATATATATATATAAACTCTAGATATACAGCGTGTATTGCTGTCGATATTCAATATACCACATATACTATGTAAAATTTACTCAACGAACATATTTACCTATATTGTATATATTACATCTACTGTGAATACAGTACATGTGGCATATACTATCTATATTCTATCAAAAACCACATATACGATGTATATATATATATATATGTTCAATATATATATATGTCAAATCTATATATTATAAATATATATATATATATATTAATATATAGATTGCATATATTCTATTTATATCTTACATATTATATATATGTTTATATATATATATACACTACACATACACTCTATATTACATATAGTATATCCATTCTAATTATCGATACATATGCATTATATGCACTATAAAGACTACATACACCATGGCTTGGCTGCTGAGAAAACCCCCCCTCCCCTGCCACAGGGGGGGGGGAACCATCTGGCTGGGTGGGGGGGGTGTGGGGGTCCCTGCTCATATATATATATATATGTGTGTGTCTATAAGTCTATATATTTCTGGTTTCCAAACTTCGTCCAGTTGCTTCGTCCAGTTGGTTCGACCTGAGGTAGGCACCATGATTCATATAGCGCAGGTGTGCGAGTTCGTGCAGCAGCACTGCCATCATGGCACCTCTTCCGATGAATTCCTGCTGGAGTCACTGGAGTCACGGCCAATCTGATCTGGCATCAAGGTTGAAGATATCTCAATGGATTGGTTTAAGGGAAAATTTACAGGAAAGCCCCATATTTAATGGGAAAATCTATGGTTTCCTGTAGATTTTCCCTTAAACCAATCCATTGAATATCATCATTAGGTCATCATTAGGTCCTAGCATTTGTTTATCTGTTTAAGATTCCAAGATTCCAAGCCAAACATTCTTTAACAACAAATCCACTGATTCGAGGATTTCGAGGATCTACAAACTAAGGATAGACTCTATCCCCATTGGATACTCATAGTTCACAACTTCCTGCATCTAGAGAATCTGGATCATTCTGGATCAATTACCCTCTGGTAAACTAACATAACTATGGAAAATCACCATGCTATTAATGGGTAAATCAACTATAAATGACCATGTTCAATAGCTATGTTAAATTACCAGAGGGTATCATCATACTTTTTCAAAGATGACTTTCAAACATGACATAATGACATAACAAAGATGATGAGATACTGTTCTATCTGAAAAGCAGCCCAAAAAATGATGATCATATCCCCCATACCCCAGATCATCCTAATCCTTCTCCCCAGTGATTTCGGCCTTCTGCGGATCGCCCTTGACCGGATGCTTTCGCAGGCGCAGGCGCACAGTTGTCAGGTAGCCTCAGGTCCACGAGTCCACGGGATCCAGCTGGCAATTTTTCTGCAGCCAGATGAACTCAACTGTACCTCCAATATATCTGGTTGGTGGTTTCAACCTACCCCTCTGAAAAATGATGGACAACTCGTCAGTTGGGATGAAATGACATTCCCAACTGAATGGAAAGATAAACAAATGTTCCAGACCACCACCCAGATATATATATATATACATAGTATATACAGGAAATCATAGAGTATCATATAGTATGATATATTTTTTTCAGGAAAACATCTGGTACTTTCTGGATGCGTTGAAAAGAATGGATGCCTCCACCTGCTTTTTTTCAGAGGGAAAACGGCTTGGATCTCTTCTCCGCAGATCTGATATCTCCATCACACCCAGCCCGACAATTCTCCTTAAACCTGACCATGAAACCAAGAAAAAATGTACTTTCACCGAGACAAATGGGGATTATCTAAAGCCATGTTCCTATGAGAGGGACAAGCACCAATAACTAGCAGCTCCCTTAGATGGGTCCACCATCCCACAGAGTTTACTAGTACCTTATTCCAATGATTCACAAGTGATCCGATGTTTCAAGAGTCAAATAATGGAGGACTTTAGCCTGCTGTAAACTGTAAACTAACAAAAAAATGTGGAAACTCACATCATTTGCACTTCAGTTTTTCCAGGGAAACCATGGGTTTTCCACCATTTTTGGTATGTTTACCCCAATCTCACCACCCCATGGCCACCACCACCCCACTTCTCCCAAGCGTCGTTCCTCGCCGTTCACCACCTTCGGTGCGCGCCGGGCTACACCCGCCTTCCTTTCCTGGCAGTGTTGCCTCGGGCCATCCGACTCCCACGGTTTTTATGGGGGGGTTGGGTGAGTTTATCACCTGAAAATTCAGCATCTGATGATTTAGATGATGTTTTTTCAATCAGTAAACTATCGAATTTATGCAAAGCCTGTGGATTTTCCACCATCTCAAAAGAAAAATGTTTGAAATACTGAAATACCCAATTGATCAATTGATTGCTGTGAGAGGGGAGCATTTTCAGCTGGAAAGTTCACTCTTTTTTTGGAGGCCGCCTATGAATCAACCAGGTCGTTTTTCAAACACAGTCCCGATGTAGATCCAGTATCATTGCTATTGTCCTGACGGACCAACCATTGTAGGGATAGGCATGATGCAGAGATCAACGGTAGATCCTTAGCGCACCCAGCAGTTGAGGAATTGCAGAGCCGCAATCTGCCGAGTTGCTCAAGCAGAAAATCGTACCTGTCCAAGCAGGCTTGTGCCAGTTCTGAGATCCGTTCCCTTCTGTCACAAATGGCAACGGACATCTTTGAGATGCTATCAACTCTTCCATTTTCAGAAGGGAACTTTGATCTACCCTCTAGTAATCAAAGGTGCCAATGGAAAATGCCTCATTTATAGAGGATCTTCCATCTAAAAACCTTCATTTATAGAGGATCCGCAAAATCGCCATGCTGGATTTCCAGCTACCAATAGTCATCAAAGTTCAAACATCGTATCTTGGAGCGTCTCTGGATTCATCAATTTCTTGTTGCTTGATTTTCCAACGAAAACAACTCCTATCACCTGTTGGTTGCTTCCCCATTACAAAGCCTCTCAACTGTTGGCTGACCATGGTTTCCCACCATCAATTTGTCTGGATCACCATGGTTTCCCACCATCCTTCACCCGCCTGAGGCGAAAGTGTTGACACAAGGGATTCGCCACACTGTGGAGATGTTGGAGAAGCTCCTCCACCTTTTGGCAACTCCTCGGGAAAAAAAAAGTCGGAGACATCTGAAATGGAATGGGATGGTATAAAGGACCTCCACACGTGTGTGAGTATTGATTATGTAGGAGATCACATATTGGGTTTTAAACAATCTCATATCGGATAATCCAATTGATCTTCTAGTATCTTAATAGAATCTTATTGGATTATCTAGATAGATCATCACATTTAAGAGATTCTAACTTATATCATCTGATATTCTCGTATCATCTATAGTCTATAGATTATCTTAATAGTAAAAATTGATTTACCATCTGGTTATATATTTAACATAGCCATGGAAAATCACCATTTTTCATAGGTAAACCATCTATAAATGGGCCATTTCCCATGGCTATGTTAAATAACCAGAGGGTAAGATTTGGCAACCAAAAAAAAAACGGCTTTAGATCCATACTTCAACCAAGCATCTGGAGTGGGATCTCATCACCTCCAACAGCGTTGCAGTGTGTGACGTGTCATGGTATCAGAGTGGTAATATGGGGGAGCCCCTAAAATGGAGGGTACCCCCAAGATTGGTTGCTTTATAATGGAAAACCCATCTACAAATGGATAATTTAGAGGTATCCCCATTTCAGGACATCCCCATAGCCAGGAAGAATGCTGTGAACGGATCAACCATTTGCCACCCAACTTCTGAAAAAAAAAACAGGTGAAAAACTCAGTTTCGATACTTCAAGGTACCATTCCAACTCCCAAAAAATCAGCAAAAACAGGTGCTGAACCCTCCAGGTACCATTCCAACCCTCCGGCCTTCCGGGCTCCACATGATCTGGTGCGCCAACTTGGCTGTGGGAGACTCCACGGGCTCCTGGGGAGATCCGGCAACACCTTTCTGGAGAATTGGTGTTTCAACCGAACCGCAGAAAGATACATCAAATAATAAAACATCAAAAACATCAAATAGGAAAAGTAAAATATCATATATATATATAGTAATTTATAGTAATGTATCCTGTTTTTAATAGCTCCTAATACACAAGTCAAGAAAGGTCGTCCTTCGCCCGGCTCCTCGTTGTCCTCGGACGGCTTCGCCTTGGCCTTCGCCTTGGCCTTGCTCTTTCCTTTCGCCTTGGCTTTGGCCTTCGGAGCCTGGCGTGAAATTCTTGGTCACATGTGGGATTAGGGATACTCAGGATATAATAGTTGGAATCCCTATGATGATATATCACTTAATCCCATAATGTCATACACATATATATATATATATGTATATATATATATGTTGTGTATACAGTATATAATATTTATCCCTCTTTTGGGGGTAGATGAATAGCACTGCTTCTCGCCATCTACATCTTGCTTCTCGCCTGGGATGGCACAGGCTCGCGGCTTTTTGGAGCTGCGCTTTTGGGCCTGGACGATGTCTGTCATTCCATCAGGTTACCCTCTGGTGAACTAACATGGCGAACTGGATAATCACCATCTTTAATAGGTAAATCAACTATAAATGGACCATTTTCAATAGCTATGTTAAATTACCAGAGGGTATACTAATCCGGATATATTTTTCCATGTTGGGAAAATGATGACTAACATTGACTGTCTAGTTTTTGTTCCATCATTCCCATCCACTGGGCAATCATCATCCCAATATGAACATATGATAAATATGGTCATGAATTGGGGTACATCCAGCCTTCTCAGACACACCCATATCCCACAAGAAGAGTCTTCTTCCAAAGCCATGTTCTTGGAGTTTCTTACAGTTGATGTGAAACCATTCTCACTCAGTTACCCTGGTGCCTCCTTAAATTTCGACCCACACCCAGACCGGGCGAATGTCGAAAGAATGCTTGGGCCGTACCTGTGGTCAGTACTTGCTATCCAGTACAACAAACTCTTGACCTATACCCACAAACACAATAACCCATGACCAATTCCAATCCCACTTAAGTCCTAGTAATTTCCAATAGAGACATAAAAAAAAAAAAAAAAACTCATACCCATTTGATATAGTTTGATCTTATTTGACAAACCCGATGCCAATAAACAACTACCATTTGGATCTATTTGGGTACCCTCTGGTAAACTAACATAACTATGGAAAACCACCATTTTCAATGGGAAAATCCACTATAAATTGTCATTTTCAATAGCTATGTTAGTTTACCAGAGGGTATCACCCATCCATCGCTTGGGCCTCACCGATTTCTTCGCTTCGGAGTTCGCAGGGCTCGTCTCCGGCGCCACCTTCACAGCCGCTCTGCTTGCCCGAGCGGACGCTGGGGCGCTGCGCTCCCGCGGAGCACTGCGTTGCCGCGCGCCTCGAGAATATCTGAGTCAATGGTTTCGTTGAAGATCGGTGAAGAGATATTCTTGGAGGAAAACCCAGGAAAACCCAGTTTCTGACCATCAAACTAATATTGATAGCACATTATAGAGGTTTTCTTCTAGATTATTCCTTCAAATCACTGATCAAAGAGTGGAAAACCAAGCAAAACCTGCAGTTTTTTCTGCCTCACAAAGTTGATCGACCTAAAACCTGTAGCAACATGAACAAAAATCGGATAAAGAAAAGGTAAACCAGTGGTGATTAGCCATGATTCACCACTATTCATAGTGCATATTAGCCATCTCCATGATGCCATCTACACCTTTCGAGGCGGTCCCACCTCGAGGTGATGGAACTTCTTTTTGCTCCAGCATCTCTTTCTCATCTTTCCTCAAGATTCTACGGCGACTCCCCGTCAATCGGAGAAATGCATCTGGGCATGGACCCAAAGTGCCTTTAGAATACTATGTCTAGATCAAAATTGATAAGTTCATTGTACAGCACTGGTCAGAGGCAAGAAAACTGTGATGTTGTCACAAGTGATTCGCTGCCAAAATCATCTAATCCCATGATCATTGCATAATGCCAAGGGACTTTGTTTGATAGCCACAACCGCTGTTCACACTGAGTGGTGAAGATGCAGTCGTTTGTGAGGACCCTTGTAGGAGGAGTTGTTCCTGCCAAAATGGCGAGTTTGGACAATTGGAAAGTGCAGACTGAATTAGGGAAGACTTGATCTGAAAATGCTACCACGGTGTGTGAGAAATCATCGGACAGTTCCAGTTTCATCAGCAAGTCCTCCTGATCGTCTCTCAGTTTGCGCAATACCTGCAAACGTCGTGGAAAAAGGGTGCACGTTCTGCACATTCCAGGGCCAGAGCGAACATGTATGAATTCCATGTCAAATTTCACACGAATCACATCCAAATTCAACCAACAACATTCAAAAATAAAACTCATGTATACTGGTATAGGTTGATGTTCATATAAGTTTCATCTACTGTGGTAAACCCGTAAACCCTGGCTGCCAAAAACCATCCCTATTCCCTCACCCTCTTTATGGTTGGGATTCAAACTATCCCCAAATGGTGGGTTGATTATTAAGTCTCCCATATACATAAGATCTCAAGTGCTCTCCTTTTCCTCTTGCTCGGCTTGCACCACGTGAGTGAAGTGACACAACCTTCGACGACTTTGGTCACAAAGGATAGCTCGAAGTCGAAGGGCGCCCATTCATCCCATCATTTCCTGGCATCTTGTCTTTTCCACAAAATATACCAAACTGACGTTGGAATGTTGGCAGTCCAAAATTCCTCGGCACATTGTAGAAGCTTGAAGAAAAAATACACACTCACACAAAGCAAACACTTTGCGCCGGCAGTCCAAAGGAAGAACTGAGAGAAATTGGAAGGCTGCCACCTCCTGTATATAGATATATTTCCGCAACTCTCGCATTGATCCACCGACCTCTTCTTCTACAGAATTCTGCGTCCTCTGTAACCTGAATAATCCATGTGGCTCCGCCAGGTCTCAAAGATCCTAGGTCCAAACCTTTACCGTTGAGGGTAACATTTTGATGCCAATTTCAGCCAAGACTTGTCTAAAATGCAGTCGCAAAGTTTGGCCAAATCTAGGCCAGAGCTTTTGTAGGGGCTGAAGTTGAGAAAAAGCCATATGTACCACTCTCACCAGGTCAGGAATATCCAGTTAAGCGCATTGATGACGAGCTGCAGTTAACCTTGTCTTAGGTTCCTTCAGAGAAAGCAATACAAAAGAATTTGTAAAATTCGTATCACGTGGCAGCAAAAAGTCTTTCCTTGTAGCATTGCGAAATTCACCGACGCGAAGGAGAGCACCCCATGTTAAAGCGAACATGCCTGCCATTTCCAACCAAACCCCACATGAGACAAGTAGTAATGCAACTCAAAAGGATTTGTTATGGCATTGCTACGTGGTGGGCATTCGGTTCATCCCGCATCCATGCAAATGCCAAATTCCAAGATTCCTGCAACATGCGACGAATGGCAGGCTTCCTCGAAGAGACTGCATTGATGGTTTCCGCAACTGGTTGTACGGACTTCCACTTGAATACAGACACCTTCCATGCCTAACCAATAAACTGTTGAGATCATCAATTCGCTGCTGATGGTTTGCCAAAATATCATCCAGAGAAAAACCCAAAGATCGCACCCAAGATTCAAACTGGCTTATGAGATACTCCCTATGCTGACTTGTCACCGTCAGCACAAGTCTTCTGGCCTGCACTTCTCTGTCCCTGCCGTAACCTGTCTCCAGAGTTCCATGGTAGGAGTACGCCATGGCTGCCACAAGTCAAAACGGCAAGGAGGAGTCCTACCAACCTAACCTGGGTGACTGTGCCAAGGAGGTACACCTGAGGCCCTTCCCCTGGGAAGCCCAAAGTGGAATCAAAATCCATCGAAAGGGCCCTGGCCTGCTGCCTTGGCGAGGACAGAAGATAGGCCAGACGAGGAGCTCGAAAAACGGAGCGATCACAGGCGGAGAACAGAAGGACCCAAACAACGCAGCACCTAAGGCCCTTCCCCTGGAAAGCCCAAAGTGAATCAAAGTCCATAGAAGAGCCCTGGCCTGCTGCCTGGGTGAAGACAACACCAGAAGACAGGCCAGCCGGAAAACGAGGAGCTCGAAAAACGGAGCGATCACAGAGACAGAGAACAGAAGGACCCAAACAAAGCAGCACCAAACAAGACCATTTAGAAATCCAACCAACCACGCAAAGAGCAGCAAGTCTAGAAAGGATACTTGACAGGGCCCGTGATGACGACCGTCCTTTTGCACTGGCACACTTCACCAAATTGGAGTCCACAAGAATGATCAGACGGATGGACTTCCCTTTCTTAACAAGACCTGCAACTAGTCTCACGACAGCAGACAACTCCAGGATATTTATGTGAGAGTTAACACGGAAAGTCCACACAGAGCTGCATTCCCAAGATGCCGCAGTGCACACTTCATTGATCAGCTGGCTCTCCAAACCTTCACTTCTAGGCAAGTCCACGTCCCACCTGCAGTTCAGATTCGGTGGGAAATCCAGCCGCAATCAACCCCTCACCAAAAGTCTGACGGCGGAATGCCCAGAAATGATCCTTGGACGCAAACCTGACAGGACCTCAAAGACCACAAGCACGCAACACAATGAAATGCTTGGACTCAGGATGATCTGCCTCAGGAGTCATCCGTTCAGAAAAGATCTCAAGAGCAACTCGACACCAAACCAGATGAGTATGCAAGGTGGATTCTCTGCAAGGCTTCCCGTTGATCCCAGCAAATGAAAACCGCTTGATCCTTACAAAGGGCTGGCACTGGCTCCTCCAGCTCCCAAAGGCAAGCAATCTGAGGAAAACGGCACGTGCCTTGGGATCACTTCTCTGCCTCGGTCAGAAGCTTGTGCTCCTTGACCCTCCTTCCGTCTCAGCCACCTTTCGAGAACCTCAAGCTTGGAAATCAAATCACGCAATTCCAAGGCGGAGAAAGGGCAACTCATTCAAGCTGGCGACCCAGCCTTGATCGAGCAAGAGCTCTGGAAGCCGGGGGAACCGAGGCTTTGAAGATTTCGGCACGGAAAATCCAAACCAGGACACCAAATCCAACCAAAATCCAAAAGGAAACCACACCAGCCACAAAACCAAGGAGGGCCCAAGGAAGACAAGACGAAGAGCAGTGGAAAGGGCACGAGACAAATCTGGAAACCTCGTTGGCCACAGTCACCCAGCCCCAAACACCTCCGATCCAACCAACCATTTACTTGAGCAAGCAAGATTCAGGTACACACATTCGAACTTAGATGCCATATATATATATATATAAATGCGTTTGTGATATGTATCATCTTGTACGTATATCTAACCATCGTTTCCCATCGTTTTTCCATCGCTTGGGATCTCCTTTTTGTCAGCTCCCAGGCCTGGCTTTGGAGGAGCCCCAGACTTCCTACCAAGCTGTAGAGGCTCTTCCAGTCGCAGGCCACGGGCTCCCGGACCTCCTCGGCCAAACTTAGACAACTTGTGGTTCTCAAAAAAATGGGTATAACATGTTATAACATGGGTATGTCTGAAAATGGGGTATACCCCCAATTATAGCCATTTAGTAGGGATAATGATCATTAACCATTGGGTGTAGAGGTACACTATTTTCAGACAAACCCACATACATTTGCGTTACATAGTATATACATAGAGTATGTAGATTGACATAGACATTCTTGTCCTTCATTCCTGCCCTTCATTCTCACTCAGAAAAATGAGGTCCCTCAGAGTATTCACTGAGGAAAAGAATGGCAATCCATGTTGCTTGAAATTGGTATATCAGACAATATGGGTACAAAATGTTGTAAAATATGATAGACAGATCATATAAAATAAATGTCAATGCGTTTGAGGAATTATTGCTGTTTCACTATCCAAATATGATGTTTGAAGCTATATAAAGCCGAGGGGATATGTAAGAACCCCTGTGTCAGTTTGGGCCTTGAACAACCAAAGTGGGAACACCACAAATCCATCTTGGACTCGAAAAATATGACCTTCCTCCACTAAAAACAACACATACATATTGCTTGACAAGTGGTTACATAATCCTGGTTTGTAAGTCCTCCAAAGAAGCTGGCCCCCTTCAAACTTCGTGAAAAACAATCTGTCAATTCCCAACTACCCTCTGGTAATTTAACATAGCTATTGAAAATGGCAATTTATAGTGAGTTTGCCCATTAAAAATGGTGATTTTCCATAGCTATGTTAGTTTACCAGAGGGTAATGTGGTAAACCCTGGCTGCCAAAACCATCCCCAGTCCACCATTTTGATGGCACCTGGGGGCACCCGACTGCATCTTCCCGTGGCCGACGCGGTGACAGCGACCGTGCACTCCCACTGCGTTGTAAGGAAGAGGCGGAGGCGGACCTACCATGGCCAATCTTGGATACCATGATACCCTGCAAAAAAATGAAATTCTTAGCTGGTTAGTAGATAATCCCATTGATGCCAAAAGACTAAAGGATTAAATTAGCCGTCCAAGATTGACCTATCAAGAAAATGCAACGAGAAAAGGCACGGGTTCACCAGTTTCACCAGGTTCACCAGGTTCACGAGGAGGTGGAATCTTCGGGGGTCCATCGACTTCGACTGGTTCTCAGCTGAAAGGTTAGCGTTCTAAATTGCCAAAGATGGGTGGATTGATAAATGGAAGATGATATGATGAAAACAGGGTATCAAACAATTGGTACACATGTTTTTCCCTCAAACAACATAGGACAGCCCAATTTCCAACTAACCTTGTCTATATGTCTATGTCATTGTAGGACTAAGAAGCCAATGATTGAGAGATTTGGTGAATCGTCTGAGAGTTGGAAGCCCTCCAGAGGCCCAAAGGCCGAGAAATGCTGAACTAAATGGTATCTTAGCTTACAGTTAAGAATGTCATTCATCTTCACGTGTCCAGCTTAATTTGATCATGGCCTGCCAAAGGTCGGAAGAGTCTTGGATGACTCTGACCTCCATGACCAGCAATTCATGCTCAGACAATGCAATGTGATGAAGCCAAATAGAAAGCTCCAATTTTGGTGTCTTTAACATGGCTTAACAAATATGTGGCCCAAAAACTTGGCATAGAAAATTTCGGCTCTGGATATGTGATGTATACCCAACTCCTGTCACGGCGAATTCGAAAGGTTCTCCAAAAGGAGGGGAACCTCCCGAAGGTGGGCAAGGCAGTAGGCAGCCGCCTGCAACAAAACATCGGGGGGCCCTGGTTGAAGCATCACTGAATGAGGAAAAAAAGATGTCGTCATTTATTTACCCTCTGGTTATTTAACATAGCCATGGAAAATGGCCCATTGATAGATGGTTTACCTATTAAAAATGGTGATTTTCCATGGCTATGTTAGTCATAACCAGATGGTAGACGCTCGAAAAGTTTGGATAATATGGGTGATCTCAGTGTATTCTGTATACATTCCCATTATACACCCCACCATATCCCCATGATATCCCTACTAACCCACCCACCCCACCTTCCAGTCACCTCTTGGAAGGGATCGCAAGCTTCGCCTTCCCACAGGCAGCCCCTAACATCAATGGAGGCCTGGGAAAATCTACAGGAAACCATGGCTTTTCCCCATGAAATATGTTGGTTTCCTGTGAAAAAACAATGCTTAAAGCAAATCCAGTGACCAAAGAAAACATCGTCTTTTTCCAAATTCCTCCCATCTTTTCTGCTGGTTGTAGTGTTCCAAAACAGAACCCTCATGAAACAAATGGGAACTTGGCCGGTGTCCAGCACTGGGCCACCAGACACGCACAGGGCGTCTTGAAGCTGATCATCTTGAATGCTCCTCAGAAGGATCCAGAATGATTCAGATCTATAGATTCTATAGATCTCATTCCTGTCCCCGGTTAAAATTCAAGCTGGGCCTGACGTGTCTGTGAAGTACCTCCAGTTGGCATCTTCATCTGGCGAGTCTTAGACTCCCAATTTGGGGATCTGTGACCCAAATCTTCGTCGTTGGCCAAGGCTCTGGGACATGCCGCTGGGGCACGTCTTTGATCCTCGGCTTTCCCCTCTTGGAGACTTGGGACTTAGAGACTGAAGTTAGACATTTTGGTGATTCTTGGGCTCAGCTCCAAACGTTCAAAATATTTCAAGATTCTCAGAACTTACCAAGAACTTCATCCATCTTCATCGTTCTTCATCCATCTTCCACTTCCAAAGCTGGCCGAGTTGACATTCCTAAGGTCAGAACGGTGTCACCTTGCCCTCTCCCACCTTAGCGTGGCTGAACTGCCTTGATGTTCAAACCCACAACATGTTTTCATGGTTGACTTCGCCTTTTTGATTCTTATTATCAGTGAGATGATGTGCGATTCTATCATATATAAATATATTTCATATCTGTGATGCTTCAATGACAATAGTTGATGGGCAAATCGCTGTGCTTGATGCGTGCATGACCGTCTCTGACGGTAGCAGTTTTTCTGTGCACTTCAATTGCAAGTTGTCTGGCTGATTGTTTTGCAAACCAAGAAACCCGGAGATGCGTCATTCCGCCTCACAACGTGAATGGGAAACCGACTTCATCCTGGATCTGAGTAGCTGAACTAAAACGACCCTGGCAATGGAACATGCTGGATTTTAAGTGGGTCTGGGTCAACACTAAAACCACCTAAAATTCCTGGCCGAACGACCTGAAACCATGAAGGGCAAATGGCAGATGAAGCGTATCTTTCCCCAATATTCATGATTGATGACTCCTTCCTTCGGTTACATCCATCATTTCCCAAAGTATCCACCAGCCACAAGCGTTTTCACAGGGATTTCCCCAAAACGATCACCCAAAGTCCCAAACTATTTCTGGAAGCTGACCCAATTATGCACCGATTTCCTGGAGGATTGTAAAGTTCCCACCATCCATTCAATGGATTGGTTTAGGGGAAAATTTACAGGAAACCATAGATTTTGCCATTTTTCCCACAAACCAATCCATTGATCCATAGCATCCACAACCCGCACCTGGCTCTCGGAGTCAGAGATCTGGCTCTCGGTACTTCCGGCTCCGGAACAGCTGTGGAAGTCTCAGGGGCCTTGGGAGTTTTTCTGGTTTCTGGCACAGACTTTTCAGGGTCAAAGAGTCAAATCTGTCATTTCAGGACATTTTAGGTAGATGATGTAGATGTTGAAGGGAAGAAATGTGGAGTTTGGTACATGTTCAGTATGAAAACATCTGGAAACTGTGACTTGATCGACAGGGAAACTCAGGCACATTCAGCGCCGAATGATGAAAACGAGGCTCATTTGAGCCGACTGCATCTCTAAAAGGCCAAGGAACTTTGGAGGCATCACTCTCATCCACATTCGGTTCTCAGTAAATCAGAGGTTTGAGAAGATCTTCCTAGACAACACCAGCATCGGATCGCACTGCTAGATACAGGAAATCATTTTGTCAAAATGCACAATCTGAATTATCCAATCGATAATCATCCAAGTATCAAATAATCAATAAATCATCAATAACTATCCGAGAGTTCTCCAGGTTCACAGCATCCAAGGATCTTTTAACGAAACGGCTCAAAGATGAGGGCAGCAAACGTTTGGCCCACATTGGCACAATGTCTTTGACATCGCCAATGGTGCTGAAAGTGCTTTCAAGGACACCACTATTCGATCTATTGAAGATGCTGAAAGTGAAGAATTACTATATAAACAAAACACAATCTGGATTGGTGTACTATTGGTGTACTATTGGGTGTACTATTGGGTCTTAGTATCATTAGTGGTTAGCCAAATCATTGGAATTTTGCCACCAATCATGCACTGATATCCGGCACAGCTGGGCTGTAAAGCACTGAAGCCAAAACGCTGCCAAGTCAGCCTCTGCACCAAGAATCCGCTCGAAAAGTCCATGTCAGCAGGAAAAGTCACTAGAATCATCAAAAGATATCTCACATACCACTGAAAAAAATAACAAAAGGGGCAATTGTTTTCATCTATTTCCCCAGTTGCAGTTGTCTCCAGGAAACTAAAAAGCTGCGGTCCAGAACGCGAAGCAAAGCCTGGGTCCGGCTCTGCGCGTGTCTCTGAACCTCCGCTAGAGATAGCTAGCTCCCCCGAGTACCGGATCGATTCGCACTTGGCAGAAGCCCAACCATGACCAGCTATACATCAGCTGTACATCATCAGGGGTGGCTCAAAGAATGGTGGCTCAACATACTGCAGAGTTGTTGATCTCACTAAGAGGTCATTTGGTGGCATGTTTTGCGTTTGGTATCCAAACTTTGTGAAACGCTTGTTTCATTTGAGCTACACCCACTTTCCTGGAAAATCCTATGACTTTTGGTAGTGGCAAAACCACCACCACAAAATCCGGCCACAACCGATTTGTGTCGCCACATGCAGCGAAATTCTGCCCATGAATTCAGGGGACCCAAGTTCATCAAAGCTGGATCGATGGAGATCGACGGAGATCCCCTCATGCACTGAAACGCGCGGCCAGCCGTGCGGATGCCTCTGCACTGTCCTGATTTTTATGAAGCTTGCTTCGAACGGCCAATCGTACAAGGAAAACAAACGTAAACAAACTTTAAAGTCATTGAGCATCCAGAAATGCTATCTTCTATCTCACTGAATGCCCCATATTAATAAAACCAATGATAGATTATGTATATATATATATATACTGTCAAAATTCGTACCCTCTGGGCAAACATCTCAATGTGTCTCAGTGGATGTCTGGTATGGCTCCTTGGCAAAGATTGGAATGGTCTCAGGCTGGGTCATTAACAGCACTGTGTCAACCTGTCCCAAAAACACGGAGATCTTCCAGATCTTCCATGCTGTTTCCATCGTTTGAAACGTTGAAAACACAGTTTGAATCGCAACGAACAAACGTGGCGGGAAGACCACAGAACGCATCCAAAAGGAATCGCGTTGCACGATGGCAAAGGCTTGGGTTCTTTCCCGCAACTCCTGGAGTTGGACCAGGCAACGCTGGAGTTGGTTTCTACCGCTGGTTTGATGATCCCATGATTCTTGATGACATCCCCATAGATCCCATAGTAATTTTGGTACAATCCCATGATGCTTGAGAAACAACTGTGGATAATCATACATGTATTAATTGCTGATTCTGATCCCACTATGTATTTCTATCCATGGCTATGGAACGGCATTAGTGAGGTTTCATTTCATTACAGTTCTTGATACGAGTAGTTGGTCAATCCCACTATTGTTGTGTCTAATAATGCAAGATTGTTGTCTATAATCATGTATCAATTAGTATAATCCTATAATTTACTATACAATTATCCACAATTGGTATAATTCCATCTATTTTCTAATAATCCCACTATTATTGTGTATAAAAATGTATCAATTAGTATAATCCCATAATAATCAGATATTTATGCTATTTGTTGTCTATATTGTGTAATCCCATCATGTCTTTTTATAATCCCAAAATACCATCTGGTAATTTAACATAGCTATTGAAAATGGTGATTTATAGTGGATTTTCCCATTAAAAATGGCGATTTTCCATAGTTATGTGGCTGTTTACCAGAGGGTAATGTTCCGAAAAAATCGTCATGATCCGTGGTCCAATTTCCACCATTTCCACCATGATCTGATTTTTGCCGCTCCCGCGAGGGCAGACGCTCTTGGATCACGGGTAAGAAGCTACGGCAGGACCAGATCGACGGCCACCTGAATTTCCCCAGGAAACCCCCGGCTCCGGATCGTTGGGTCGAGACATCTGGAGAATTCTGGAGGATCTGGAGGATGCAGAGGATACATGTTCAAAAGAAGTATATCATGGTTTTCATCTAGTTCTGCCATTTTTTCATAGCTTTTCATAAGCCTCTGGAAAAAAAGAACGTAGCTATGGAAAATCTATGAAAATCTCCAGTTTTGAAAGCGCTAAAATCATCTAGTTCTATGGGCCATCTATACTATAGCAAAGTGTTAAATCCGCCGACCCCAGCAATCTGCAGGGGGAGCGCGCCCGAGAAAAAGCTTTTGCAGCATTCTGGGCGCTTTCGAAGAGCTTTTCTCGTGGCTTCAGAAAGCAATGTTAGGCACTTGCCTGTTTCCAAATGCCTCGCGGCGCCCTTGCCACAGGCTTTTGCGGCATTCTGGTGGCAGTAGCCTGGCTTCAAATGCGCCGCGGCGCCTTCGCCGGAGGCTTTCGCCGCATTCTGGGCGCTTTCCAAGAGCTTTTCTAGTGGCTTCAGAAAGCAACGTTAGGCACTAGCCTGGCTTCAAACCGTCCGCAGCGCCTTGGCGGGCGCTTTGTGGCCAGCTGCCGGGCCTGTGCTCCAGCTTTTCCAGTCTTTTCTAGTGGCTTCAGAAAGCAACGTTAGGCACTAGCCTGGCTTCAAACCCTCCGCAGCGCCTTGGCGGGCGCTTCGTGGCCAGCTGCCAGGCCTGTGCTCCAGCTTTTCCAGTCTTTTCTAGTGGCTTCAGAAAGCAACGTTAGGCACTAGCCTGGCTTCAAACCCTCCGCCGCGCCTTGGCGGGCGCTTTGTGGCCAGCTGCCGGGCCTGTGCTCCAGCTTTTCTAGTCTTTTCTAGTGGCTTCAGAAAGCAACGTTAGGCACTAGCCCGGCCTCAAACCCTCCGCAGCGCCTTGGCGGGCGCTTTGTGGCCAGCTGCCGGGCCTGTGCTCCACCTTTTCTAGTCTTTTCTAGTGGCTGCAGAAAGCAACGTTAGGCACTAGCCCGGCCTCAAACCCTCCGCAGCGCCTTGGCGGGCGCTTTGTGGCCAGCTGCTGGGCCTGTGCTCCAGCTTTTCCAGTCTTTTCTAGTGGCTTCAGAAAGCAACGTTAGGCACTAGCCCGGCCTCAAACCCTCCGCAGCGCCTTGGCGGGCGCTTTGTGGCCAGCTGCCGGGCCTGTGCTCCAGCTTTTCCAAATCTTTTCTAGTGGCTTCAGAAAGCAACGTTAGGCACTAGCCCGGCCTCAAACCCTCCGCAGCGCCTTGGCGGGCGCTTCGTGGCCAGCTGCCGGGCCTGTACTCCAGCTTTTCTAATCAGTCTAGTGGCTGCAGAAAGCAACGTTAGGCACTAGCCCGGCTTCAAACCCTCCGCAGCGCCTTGGCGGGCGCTTCGTGGCCAGCTGCCGGGCCTGTGCTCCAGCTTTTCCAGCTTTTCTAGTGGCTTCAGAAAGCAACGTTAGGCACTAGCCCGGCCTCAAACCCTCCGCACCGCCTTGGCGGGCGCTTCGTGGCC